AGAGAGAGGGAGAGAGGGGGAGAGGGGAGAGAGAGAGAGGAGAGAAAAGAGAGAGAGGGGGAGAGAGAGGGAGAGAGGGAGAGAGGAAAAAATAACGGCGTCATTAGGTTGGGATTAGTTGGGGAGTTATGGCAGATTTGGCTGCCATTACACTGTGGGAACTAATCTAGCGAGGAAGTGTGGCGGGGCGCAGTGTTGCACAGACTGATGGCATCCGGCAGGATAAGCAAGCCCCAAGGAAGCGGCTTGTCTCTCTCGCACCCTGCGGCCCGGCTGGCGAGTGCGAGAGAGACAGAGCGACGGACAGGTCGGGGCGCTCATAAGGCTGACCTCCAGCAGCCTAGCCGGGGCCGCTGGCCCAGCCCGGCCCAGCCCGGCCCAGCCCGTATCGGCAGGGGGCTGATAATGTTTCCGAAGGGCTTACGCGCCTTTCTCCGTCTTTCTCCCTTGCTGCTATCTCCCCTCTCACTCACTCTCCCTCGGCCGCCGAGGCCCCCCAGTGTCTATCCACCCTCAGTGCAAATCCGGACCCTCTTTAACGTAAAGAGAAGGGGATGGATAAAAACTAAAAAAAAAGAAATAAAGGTCGTTGGCTCATCCTGCTCGTCCTCACCCTCTTTGCAGCCTAAAGGTAAAAGGCCCGCGTCCCCCCGGTGCTTCGAGCAGAGTAGCGCACGAATAAGGAAAATAAAAAAACAACATAAATTTGGAACGAAATAAAATTCCAGCGCCTTCTGCATCGCAAAAAGCGAAAAAAATCAAGAAAAAACGCAAGACGGTGTTTGAATTTAAGTTTAAATCGTCTGATTACTGTGATTCTACGGTGATGAGCGCAAATGCATTCAGCTTTACTATACTGCTTTTTTTGCTGGACCATTGAGGAATGCGGTCAAAGAATGTCCGACCGGAAAGCAGTGTCCCAACAAAGGCATCTCCACCGTGTCTCCCTCCCTCCAAAATGAAAAAATAAATAAAAAAAAGAAAAACCCGCCGGTATTTGAACCCGTGACCTAGGTGACCTCACCTCCGGGGTAGCGGCCGCGCTTGCCGTCGTCGTACATGTCCTGGTCGTAGGGCTCGTTGGGGGGCTGGTTGGTCTCCAGGACGTTGGGCGGCACCAGGTAGGAGCTGCGGAGCTCCACGGACCGCTCGTCCACCTTGTTGTACACGTCGTAGATGGTGGCCAGGCACCGAATCTAAAAAGAAGAACATATTCAATTTCAAAATTATACTTAAAAAAAATGCATTTTTCTTCACACGGAATTTTTAATGAGCAGCTCTCGAATTCGCAGCCAAGAAAGTACACAGACGGCGGCATCGCAGACGGTCTGCGAAAAAACGGCGGACACTGGGAGGTGGCTGCGTGGCGGCGCGGCGGCGGGGCGCGGACGTCCCCGAAGACAGCACCCCTCCGGAGCCAGCCGATCCGTCGAGACGCATTATCAAATATTTTTTGAGGACACATCACAAGTCATTGTCAGCCAATCCAGGCTGGCTGCAAGGCCTTGCCATTAGTGGAGACGATGCTGCCCGAGGGTGAGAGAGAGAGAGAGAGAGAGAGAGAGAGAGAGAGAGAGAGAGGATCGAAGACGGCGCCACCTCCATCAACGCACAGCCTTGTTTGGAGATCCAAATGAGACGGCTTGCTCGGGGTAGGGGTTGCCCGGTGGCGGAAGCCTGCGAGAGCGAGAGAGACGGAGAGGGCGGCAGTCACACTGCGCGTCATCCCACGGGGGAGGCTCGCCCCGACGGCTGGAGGCAAGCGGGAGGCAAGCGGGAGGCAAGGCACGCTGCACTGGAAGCTGGCTGGAACGATTAAAGAGACGTCCGGGGACATTCGACGCGACGCGCGCACTCCCACCACCAGCCGACACTGCAGTCAGCCGAAGGACGAAGGACGCACGTCTCTCTCTCTCCACACACACACACACACACACACACACACACACACACACACACACACACACACACGAGGCAATTTGTTGTGGCGGAGTGCGCGGGAAATCCTGGGTGCGGCGTGGCTGGCACGACTCGTCGTCCACAAAACACCCGACTGTGTCACGCGGGCCGTGTCGCTTTCGGGCCGACGGCGGCGACGGCGGTGACGGCGGCGCCAGTGCTCTTCTGGACGAGGAGAAGGTCTCCTCCGATTTCAGCATTTCAGCCCCGAGAGCGCGAACCTCTCGGACCGAGACGGCGCGACGGTGGGCGCGCACGTGCAAGGAGGACCCACGAACAACAACAACAAAAGCAAGGCACACGTGTACGTACTGACTGCACTGCACTGGTAAAACAAAGGCATAAAAATTACGCCCTTTAGGGCATAAATACTCTTTTACGCCTTTCCAAGGGCATAATCGTTTTATGCCCTTGGGAAGGGCGTAAATGGTATAGGAATTTCAAGCAAAATTTTAATGCCCTTCCCAAAGGCATTAACGATTTATGCCCTTTAAGGGCGTAAATCGTTTACGCCCTTTAGGGGCATAATTTTTATGCCTTTGTTTCACCAGTGTGACAACGTGAAGGAGTCATGAGGAAAAAAACCGTCATGCTTATGGGAAAAAATTATTGGAATCAAAAAACATGTCCCAGACAAGCTAAAAATCTTAAAAGTGGAACCCGAGCGCATTCTTAAGGGCGGGTTTGCGTCGCAAGGAATAGTCTGCTGAAAAAAAAAGAAGTAAATAATTACACAAGTGAGACTCGAACCTCGGTCTTCGAGATGTCAGTGCGGTGCGCTTACGAGCTCGGCCACGGCCTCTCCGGGAGCATCGGTTCGAATCTCGCCGCCGAAAGAGCGGCGACGGTCGTGAGGACGACAGGGGAACCAGAGACGGGCCCTACTGTCGCCAGACGGCGCTCCGGCGCGGCCCTTCCCAGGGGCCAAAATTACTAGTGAAGGTCCTCATAAAACGCGTCGCGCCTGCAGTCACGGGAAATCACGCTGAGGAGTCACTTAGGTGGTGTCCAGAGTGGGGCAGCCTGATGTGACGGCAGCGCGGGGTAGCGCAGGGCCCGAAGGGCGCGATGTAAGGGAAGGGAGAGCGTGCCAGGGGGTGCACAGTGGGCCAGAAGATCGGTGGGGGCGGACGAAGCTCCAGACGCGTTTTGAGCTCCAGAGTCGCGAAACAGGACTTGAACCGAACGTGTGACCCCACCAATGGATTGCTCTCCGAAAGAGAAATCCATTGGTCGGGTCACACGTTCGGTTCGAGTCCTGTTTGGTGACTCTAGAGGCCAAAACCCGTACGGGACTTTGGCCGCCTCCGCCGGTCTTCTGGCCCACGGTCACCCACGGTGGGGTGGGGGCGCGCGGCTGTCCTCAAGGGATAGCGCGACAACGTTGCAGTGCATGGATTGATGCTGAATGACGTGACAGCAGGCTGCCAGCCCCGCCAGGGAGGCAGGCGACGAGGGGGAGATTCAATCAAATTCAGCATGGCAGCCGCGTATCGGAATGACGAGAAAATGAATTGTCACACGGGGGAAAATAACAGAAGAGTAAAAAAATAAACGGCGGTGATGAATTGGAATCGGCGGGCGCAGAGATCGTGACTGGCACGTCCCCTACCAACAAGTCCGTCCGAACTTTCCGAAATTCCGGTCCATATCTTCAACGGTGACCGTTAGGAACCTCGTTTACATGACAACAGAGCTAAAAAATCCCATCGTTTGCACTCTCAGAGCCATACTGACATTTTTGTCTGTACTTTTACTTAAAAATTATTTCTATGTAATTTATGAACAATTTTTTAGGTATCTTACTGATAAAAATATATGTGTAACGTATTGACATTTTGTATGTTAGCCTTACTAACAAATCTGTCACTAGTTATTTAAAAGAAGTATGGAGGCCTTCTGGGACTAATTTGTTAGTGCCTACTAAGAGATTTTGTCAATAGTAAGAAAGAAACGGAGTCAGTAGCAACTAATAAATAAAGTCAGTACATACAAATAAAATTCTATGTACATGATCAATATTTGTCGCAGACATTACATATATTTTTATGGACTTGCAATACTTGTCGCTGACTAACAAGTGGTCCAACAAGCTATCCGTTCCAAAATAAATCTTGTCGCTGAAAAAATTAGCATTAAAAGTGTCGTTTAGTAACGACAAAAGTTTTGTCAGTGATTATTCTGGTAAATTTTTATCAACAAATTTATCAACAAATTTATCAACAATTTTATCAACAAATTTGTTAGTAATGTACTAAAAATATTGTCTATGGAATTGTACATATACCATGGACTTTTTATTCGTGGCATATGAACAAATTTCTAAGTATTATTGTTGCGTAAAAAAATTCATATGCTACTTAGGAAATGTTGCTGCTGCTATGAACAAAAAGTCAATATGGCTCTGAGAGTGTGTCCTGTGCACGATGCACGTAGATGCAAGTGGAGTCAGGCACGCACCTTGAGCTTGTTGTCGGGCCCGAAGTGCTCGGCCAGCAGCTTGATGGACACGCCCACCACGGGCCGCTGTCTCTTCTCCTCGTCCGGCCGCGTCTTGAAGTGACTCACCCGCTCGCGGCCCACGTACTGCAACACAGAAAACAGATTTAGAGACTGGCTGGAATACGAACCCGGATCCTTCGCGCGTTTTGAGCTCCAGAGTCGCTGGCACGGACCGACCGCATGACCGCACCAATGGATTGCTCTTTCGGAGAGCATTGGTGGGGTCACACGTTCGGTTCGAATCCCGCTAAGCAATTTTGGAGCTCCAAACGCGTCTAGAGTTTCGACCGCGTCCACCGGTCGTCTGGCACACTTTGCGGCGTGAACACACTACGTCTTGTCGCGAATTTTGAGTCCGCACTTCCCTCCCGCAAGTGGTCAGCAGCAGGCGCTAATGTCCGACGTAGCAACTAAGAGATAAGCCCAAACTCAAACTGCCAACTGTGGGCCGAACGCCGCCAGCCAGAGCCAGGGGCAGCCAGAGCCGCCACCCCGACCCGGGCGGCAGCGCGCAGAGTGCGTCCACCAGCTGTGATTGGATGTTGTTGCACAGCATCGGGTCGGCGAGCGCGACGCCGGGCTTCGGGATTGTTCGTCGGTCGGCGACCAACCCAACGTTCCCGACCGGACCGTATTTGTCAAAGCACAGCAGCAACTTGCCAGGATTTCGGCCTTCGGGGCCTCCAGCCCGCCCAAGGCAACATGCGCAGCGTTTCCGAAGGACACCGAAGGCTCACGTAATTTTGACAGGGCCGAGACCGAACCGGGCTGAACACTTTGGAGGTTTACTAAAGTCCAAAGCGTACAACCAGTTTTTGATTATTTTCTTAAAAATGCACCGGGGTTTGCGCACAGGGTCGCTCTAGTGCAGTCGTCGCCGCTTCGCATTAGGCTGCCCGCTCGACCACAGGCTGGAGCCTCGCTGGAGCCTCGCTGGAGCCTCGCTGGAGCGGCCGAAGACGGGGACGCCCCGGCCAGGCCCGGCCAGGCCAGACAGAAACAAACTTCTTGCGGGTTCCCTTGAAAATTCTCGGCCCCCCGGCGCTCCAAGGCGGCGGCGGTGGCCCCGGTGGACCTCGCCGTCGAGGAGGCGGGCGGTGTCCGCGACCACGGTGGTCGCAGGGCGGTGGCAGGGCGGTCGCCGGGGCCGGGTACTAAATCAAGCCCTCTGTGGTGGACTTGGGCTGCTGTTCGACGCCCAGTGCGGCCTGCAGTGTCACCCCACTGGGAAACGGCGAGCCTGCTGGCCTGCTCGGCCACGGCGGCTGCGAACTCCAACGGCGCGTTGCAAATTCAAAAGTGTTGTCCCGGAGCCTTTTTTTCGCGCGTTCCCTGAAGGTGTAGCGGCAGCGGCCTGCCGGCTGACGCCTTGGCAGGGAGGCAGTCATAGCACCCAGACAAGCCTTCCGACAAGTTTGCCACCCGGACCGGAGGTACTTCCCCGCTCAATTATTCACGTTTTTTTGACAAGCCAAACAGGCGAAAGCGGTGGACTCGCCTCTCCCCGCGGGATGCTGCCCGTCTCGTGGAGGCCTCGCTAGCGCCTGCGAGGTAGGCACCCGGGCCAGGACTCACGACGCCCCTGTGTGGCGGGACTGCCTACCCAGCCCGGCGTCTCTCTCTCTCTCTCTCTCTCTCTCTCTCTCTCTCTCTCTCTCTCTCTCTCTCTCTCTCTCTCTCTCCCTCTCTCTCTCCCCCTCTCTTTCGCTCTGCTCTCCAGGGCTTGAGGAACGCGGGCTTCGCACGCACTGGGCCTCAGCCGTGGCACCCCTGGGGCCCAGGGTACACAACCTACTCTTCGCAAAATAAACTAAAAATGGAATTATTTTATTGTTTGGAAAATGGGGTTGGATTGCGTCGCTCGGATGCGACGGTTGGTAATCCCTGCCGCCTTGCTGCGCCTTGCTGCGCCTTGCTGGCTGCCACAGACGCGAGGCGGTCTGGCAGAGCGCCGGGCCCGCTGTACGTATATTTCACGGAGTCGAGTGCCAAGTCCGGGTTCAATACTTGTGCATGCCCGCCGCGGCCCGCCCAGACCCGCCCAGGCCCGCCCAGGCCAGCCAACCGCGTTGCCACCAATTGCAGGAAACACTTTCTGCAAGCGTGGCGATGTCGTTCGGTTCTGAGATTTGCAGGTTATGTTCGCCCCTTTGGGGCGCACAGTCTCGTGATAAAATATGTACGATTTATAATTTTTACAGTGCACGTCGGCACGCACTTCGATAGATTGAATTCTCTTGTCCCGACGTCGCTGCTTCGATTACTAATAGAGAACTTCCACCCCCGCAGGGATCACCAGCCCGCCAGTAAAATTAAACGATTGAACTGAAGTAGGAAGGGAGGGCGTTTGCATTTTGAATCGCGGCCGGCCGAAGCAAGGGTGGCGTCCCTGGCAGCAGCAGCAGCGACGCTCGACCAAGAAACGCATTTACATCCTTCTGAATTTTTAATTTCGTCTTTTAAAAGAGCAAACAGAATCTTCCGCGCTCTGTTCCTAATGGGTTCGACCCCCTGCCCCGGTCCGCTCTCCCTTTCTCTCTCTTTCTTCCTCTCTCTCGATCGTGTAGACACAATGCCGGCATGAGAACGCACTACAAAAAGTGTCGTTAGACTTACATCAATCAAGCCGAGTCTTTGCATTCCTAATCAATTTTCGCCTCACTCCTTTCTCCGCTAATGTCCGGCCGCGAAATAAGAAAGGCAGACTTTGTTTTACAAGTGTCACCGCCCCTTATTAATTATCCATCTTCCTCTTCCTTCCCCTCCTTCTTTTTCTTTTGGAATCTGCCTGCCGTTTACAGCGTAGCGACGCGGCACAGTGGGTCAACCGGAGGAGGCGCAAACAAAATTCTAGCTCTTACAGGACTCGAACCGTACGTGTGACCCCACCAATGGATTCCTCGTTCGGAGAGCAATACATTGGTGGGGTTACACGTTCGGTTCGAGTCCCATTAAGCACTCTGGGGCTCAAAACGCGTTTGAAATTTTGGCCGCCTTCTCCGGTCTTCTGGCCCACTGTGCGCGCCGCCTTCTTCGCTGGGTTCAAGGCCCGGCATCGGAAACGGCGATATTGTCCCCGGCACTGGTAACGGGGTTTTACTGTCGCGACCGGAAATCGAGCAAGCAAAATAATAGTTGACTGGCGCCCCGCCAGGCCGCGCTGCCAGCAGTGGCTCATAACGAGGTTCTAATTAAGAGGAGTGTGTGGCTTGAGAGACTCCTCATTATTATGTTCCTAAATCAGGCCCAAATGAGGGATCGGACATCTTCAACAAATAGATTCAAAAAATAATAAAATCTTCTTTTTTTTTAAATTTTGCAAAAAGAAAGACATTTTTTCTGTAAAATTTGATTTTTTCTGATTTTGATTTTTCCCCCTTGAACATTCACAACAACTGTTTGTTTTTTCTATGAGAGCGAACTGCGTGTTGACTTTTGTGCTGAGTCCACTCCGCTGGCGCCGCTGGCCACGGGACGCTTGGCATGATGCACCTGTCTCCCTCCCACCTCTGTTATCGCTGCTCTCGCTCGGCCGCGTCCCGGCGAGCCTTGGCCGACTCGTTCTGTCTCTGTCACGCTCGCGGGCCGCTGAGCGAGAGTGCGAGAGAGACAGACGGAATCTGGCGGGCTTCTGGCCGCGTCAGCAGGACCGCCACCTTAACACTGCAAAAGGCTCATTTCCCCAAACGATGAAAAATTGCTTTCCCGGCGGCGCGTTTCGCCGCGTTTCAACGTGTTGCTGTTGGCAACGCCGCGACACTCGGCGTGATGGATCCCCACCAGAAGGACGCGCAGTGGGCCACAAGGCCGGTGGAGGCGGCCGAAATCCCGGACGCGTTTTGAGCTCCAGAATTTCTAAATGGCACTCGAACCGAACGTGTGACCCCACCAATGGATTCCTCGTTGGGAGAGCGATCCGTTGGTGTGGTCACACGTTCGGTTCGAGTCCCATTTAGCAACTCTGGAGGTGAAAACGCGTTTGAAATTTTGGCCGCCTCCACGGTCTTCTGGCCCACTGTGGCACGAAAAGAAGGACAAAGCCGGGGCGGAGTAGGCCTGGGCGGACGACTTGGAGACCAAAGATACCGCCGCCGAAACTAGAATGGAATGTGAACTGGATTCCAAACTGCAGAACATCGTCAGGAGCACCAGCTGCCCCACCCTCACTTGGCAGCCAGGCTCGGTCGGCGTGCAGACCAGTTCAGCGGACTTAAGTTCCCCGCAAACGGTCGGGGCGGAAAAAAGGCCTGCATCACCTTGATGCTTATCGCGGCGAGGATGTCATGATGCCGCCCTTTATCTTCTTTCTCTCTCCCGGCGTGTTTTTTCTCCCCCCCCCTCTCTCCGCCTGTTCCCCGCGGTGAGGCGAAAACCAGAGGCATATCGCAGAGGGCGTTACACCTGAGTGAATGCGGCAGCCAGCCAGACACACCACAACAAGGCCGAGCTGGTCTCCTCTGCTGAGCGCCGGGTTCGAATACCACACTCTTCCAGACTTTTTTTCTTCCCGCCATTTTACCGTGGTTAAGTCAGACCACTGTTTCACTTCGCCCCGCCCTCTGAGGCAGGCGTCTCCCTCGTCTCGCTGGCCGTCGCTCGGCCGACAAGGCGAATAATTGGGCAAAGCATTGACTCGCCGAGTACTTATTGACACTCGGGAGCTTGAGGCAGGCGCCTCCCTCGTCTCGCTGGCCGTCGCTCGGCCGACAAGACGAATAATTGGGCAAAGCATTGACTCGCCGAGTATGACACTCGAGACGAACAAACTTGGAACGAGGCGACGAGGGACTACCACTGCCCCGCCAAAAATCTGGCACCTCACTGTCAAAATGTGTTACCACTTTGATTAAAAGCGAAATTTGTTGGTAGACGCTCTCTCCGGGTGGGAAGACTTCCGCACAGACAGACAGGCAGACACACAGACGGGGAGGAAAACAAAACCAGGCCAATAGGTATAGCAGGGGCAATGGGGCGACTACAGCCTGATCCCACACTGTGCCACACTCCGCGTGTCCACTCGCAGCAGCCAGTGCAGGGCCATGAAGGCTCCCCCCCCTCCCCCTCACTGCCACGCTCCCAGTCTTAGAGCGCTAGTGCGGGCGAGCGAGCACATGGCCACATATGGACTCATATGAACCCATAAGGGGGCCTATATGGCCGCATATGGCGTTTGCTGGCATCCCGCTCCGGCCTCGTTCCCCGCCCCCCCCCCACCTCAATTCTTTTCTATAGACGCCCGTTTGCAGACCCGCATCGCTAGACGCGGCACGTTCGCTAGATCCCCCGCTGTTTTAACCGGACCCTCGAATGGGGGACACTCGCTGAGGCCGCCTCACACTGTTGTGGCGCACAGTGGGCCAGAAGGCCGGCGGAGGCGGCCAAAACTCTAGACGCGTTTCGAGCTCCAGAGTCGCGAAACAGAACTCGAACCGGACGTGTGACCCCACCAATGGATTGCTCTCCGCACGAGGAATCCATTGGTGGGGTCACACGCTCGCTTCGAGTCTTCTCGCCCGAGTCGAGCCCCACTCACCTGGTTGCCGTTGATGTAGATGGTGAGGTTGGCCGGCGGGTGCGAGGGCTCCGTCGTGCAGTTGGCGCGCAGGTACTCGCCCAGCTGGTAGCGCGACTTGAGCCCCAGGATGTTGGGTGGGTGGCGCGGCACCTCTGCAACAACCAAGGTTCAAGGTTTCTGTTCAGAAAAAGATAATATCTTTTCTGACGCGTGCTTTATGTATTTTTTTTCTCGTTTGTTTCTCATTTGATTGTCGAATTAAAATTCCCAGGCAGCAGAGTGTGATTTGAAGCTCGCTGGAAGATAGGGTGGGCGGGAAAATACGACATGCTCGCTCAAATTCTCGAGTCTCTCTCTCTCTCACACACACACTCTCACACACACACACTCACACACACACACTCACACACACACACAGTCGGGTCGGCATTTCAGGGCCTTCCTTGAACGTCAACACACACTGCTGCGAAATCTGGACTTCGTGTCGACGGAGACAGGCGCAAAAGGGAATGGGTTAGGGAGGGAGAGAGAGAGAGAGAGAGAGAGAGAGAGAGAGAGAGAGAGAGAGAGAGAGAGAGAGAGAGAGAGAGAGAGAGAGAGAGAGAGACGGCGAGCATGGCGCTCCTCCCTTAAATTAAGAGCAGCAACAGAGCGACACACTTAGAAAAGACACGCCCTGTCGCTGCGACACGCGAGCAATCTCCAGCCGGCCGCCCCACACTGCGACGCGCTGCGACGCCGGCGCCAGACGAAGGACGAAGATGCATGGGCACGGCTGGGCACGCCTGGGCCTGGCATGCGTCCGCCGAATACCTGTTCTCCTTTTTCTATCTTTCCCGCACGACGTACAGTCACTGCGAAAAGGAAAAAAATCCTCGCGCGAGAGACTGGTCGTGCTCAGCAGTCACCTTACGCTTTTCTTTTGCGACTGACTGTACTTGGGACTCACACGGGGTGGGATCAACTCCTCTAGCCTCGCTCCGAGCCTCAGGGAAGTGATCAGGTGCGATGCTGGGCCGGCCACATGTGCCAGTGTGGTGGAGGGAAGGCCTACGGTCGGAAACGTTCCACAGTGGGCCAGAAGACGAGACCTGTGGAGGCGGCCAAAACTCTGGACGCGTTTTGAGCTCCAGAGTCGCTCAACAGGACTCGAACCGAACGTGTGACCCCATCAATGGATTCCTCGTTCTGAGAGCAATCCATTGGTGGGGTCACACGTTCGGTTCGAGTCCTACTTAGCAACTCTGGAGCTCGAAACACGTCCGGGATTTTGGCCGCCTCCACCGGTTTTTTTTTGGCCCACTGTGCGTCCGTCCCAAAATAACTGCGTCACGAAATATCGGACCTCTTCCGGGCGATTCATTTTCGTGGAAATGGGAACGGTCCGCCCACAAGTACCGCGGTTATTGACAGAACGCAAGCAGAAGACGCCATCAAACGATTTGGACCCCGAGGGAGGCGCGGCGTTGTATTGTTTAGAACGGATGGATACATGCCGGGGAATCCGATTTTAATTAAAAAGGGCAAACAGGGTGAGGCAAACGAGGAAAAAACAGGGGGCTCTCCTTTCCTCCACATCGAATCGAAATAATTGTTGTGGAGCTGTTTGCGGCTCGGAGGCGAACACTCGCGGCACGCAAACACTCAAAACATGAGTAGCAAAAAAATAAAAATATAATAATTTAGGAACTGGAGGTAGGGCAGTTTCGCGGGATGCTTACACGGTACCAAAGTGCCTTCAAAACATACGCAACAGGGATAACGCTCTGGCCGCGCGAACAGCCCACCAATCCGATGGACTGTTGCTTCATCCGATATCGAGATATCGAGACGCACGGATTCGACATGAGGGTAAAAGTAGATACTCTCTCTCTCTCTCGCTCACACACACATCCTGTCTCTTCCACCACCACCACTGCATCCCTCGTGCATGCCCTACTCTTTTCCCCTCCAGCCTCCCCCTCCCCCATTTCCGAAGTGAAACGTACCTACCGAGGCCAAAGTGAAACCCACCCCCACCCGAGGGAGAGAGGGGTCCGAGAGAAAGAACAAGGCTTTCCACGCCCTTGCCTTGACGAGTTTGCCCACGTCCCGCTAAAGCCTTTCAAAACACGTGTCCCCCTCTTCACAGTTTGGTTTGCCTTCATGGCGCCGCCGGCCCGCGCCGAGTCCCCGAACTTGACAAATCCGCGACGGCGCCCCAGTCGGTTGCTTCGGCTTGCGAGTCGGGCCTTTTTGTATGTTTTTGGGGTTGCAGCTCTGTCTTGTTTTCCAAAACTGAAAGCACGGTCTAAAGAGAGGCCGTGCCCACTTGCAGCGGTCGGGATTGATTTACGTTAGAATCGTCGGTAATGATATAAATCAGAGTCTAGTGGGAAAAGGGAGGGCTGTAAGGGCGTATGAACGAAGGGACGGACGCGCGGAGGGAAAGAGGACTAGGGCGATGTAGAAATAGGGGAAAAGGATGCAAAATGAATACGCACACCCGCGTGCGTGCGTGTAAAAGAGGGAGAGACAGTGCGGAGAGAGAGAGAGAAACAGAGAGAGAGCAGGGCCGACGCTCACAGTATTTCAAATTCCATCATGCGAGGAACAGTGGGCAGGGTAGGGTGCGGTGCTGGGCGCTGTGATGGGGTGGGGGTGGGGTGGGGGTTCCACGCCAGGGGTGTCACGGCGACTGGAACGGGGCCATTCTTTACTCACACCGCAGCAAACTTTTTTCCCTGATAACATTTTGAATTGGGCATTGCCAGTTCGCCGTTGCGGCCGTTGGCGCGGTCGGGCCGGCTGCCCTAAGGCTGCCCCGGTGCATGACCGCGGTGCACCGCCAAACGGCCAGCCGCGCTCGTCGGGTCAACTCACGAACAGCTCTTTTTAAAAAGTTGGAGCCCGATCGACAAATTGGCTTTCGCCAATCAAGGCCGGGTCTTATTCTCAATGAGATTCCCCTAAATAGCCGAGTTGGTAAAACAGTCCACTCCCAAAAATGATGATCAAAGGTTCGACTCCAGTTTCTTTTTTTAATTTTTTTTTTGGTGCAAAATGTACCCACCGACGACGTTGAGGCGGCCCTCCACCATGGAGGTGGTGAAGGAGGGCCGGTCGGCGGACACCTCGCACGCGTAGCGGCCCGCCGCGGAGTGGTCCACGTGGCGCAGCGTCACCTTGCGGGCGTCCGAGCGCTCCTTCTGCAACACCCAAACAGTCACACATTAGAAAAAGGAAAGCCATTTTTCTTAAAGATAAATCAGATATTGAGAACGGCCCGTCGTCGTCCCATCACATCCTCTTTTCAAGGTCGCCATGCAGACCCTATCCCTGTAATCCTCTTCTCACACCCACACTAACTCACACAAACTCACAAACACACACACATACACACTCACACACCACACTCACACACGCACCTCATCATTCACCCGCCCCACCCATCATTGCACCCCTCTTTCCGGGCATATCCCCCCCCTTCCCTCGTCGCTTCATCACTGCCCCCCTCCCCCGGATAGAGGTGGCGCGGCCGGAAGTCGCCAAGTCTTCACCTGTCAACCGGGTCTCATCTCGGCGCCGCATCGCCGCCAACTTCTGAGAGCTGAAGGCTGAAAGCGGCCGTCGGTAGGCCTGGCGGGGCCTGGCGGGGCCTGGCGGGGCTGGCAGTGTCGACACGGCACTAGAGTGCTCTGGAGATAGGTCGCGACTCGGCGAGGCGGCGCGGCGAGGCGGCGAGACGCCAGGGCGGTGTCCTTATTCGTCAAGTGCCACTTTCAATGCAGCCAACCTCCCAGTGTGCCTCCCGCCAAGGTTGGCACGCCTCTCTGATCAGCATTCAATCCTTTCAAGGCGCGCCCGCATCCGTCAGTACAGTCACGCAAAAGTGTTACCCCTCTGCCGCCTGCCCCCACCCACTGCCGGGCTTTGCTCGCTTTGCTTGGCGGGAATTCGCACGGGGTATAAATTAGCGTGTTTGACAACGCTCTACTTTACACGGCTTCACACCAGCGGCGCACGAAACAACGCGGAACGTTGCGAGAATGAAAGAAACAAAAGAACGGGCGCAATCCGACAGCGAACAAAAGCTAACATACTGCCTTTCAGCGTACCGAGCCGAGCCGTGCCGAGCCGAGCGAAGCGCGTCACGATTGAAGTATGGCCACGCGCATCCCCAACGTGGATTGACCTTTGTATGCAAACACAGCGAGAGGTATCCCCCCCCCCCTCACCCCTCTCTCTCGCCTCGGCACACATACCGTTTAATTTTTGTCGTCCTTGAAAGGAACCGAATGCAACACATGTCTCAGTTGAGGTAGCCAAAAATTCTAGACGAGTTTTAAGCTCCAGAGTCGCAAATGGGACTTGAACCGAGCAAGTGACCCCACCAATGGAATCCCCGTTCGGACAGCAATCCATTGGTGGGGTCACACGTTCGGTTCGAGTCCCATTTGCGACTCTGGAGCTCAAAACGCGACCTTGGCCGCCTCCGCCGGTGGCTGACACTCACCATGACGTCGATGCCCTCGATGTGGAAGACCTTGGCGGACGGCGTCTCCTTGGGCGTGAAGCGGAAGAACTCCTGCTGGCCCTTGTACCACTTGATGGAGTACAGCTCCTCGCCCTCCATGTCGTACACGCAGCGCAGCGTCGCGTCCTTGTAGCGCAGCACGGCCCTGGGGATCTCCACGCGGGCGTCCCTCAGTGACGTCACCACACCTGCAACAAACGGGAAAACGACGTCAGGAGGCGTCAATGCGACAATTCGCTGGTTCTCGCAGATTCATTACCATGATTGTTAGCTTGAAGAAAAGCGGAAAAAAAATACACCTCGCGGGGAATCGAACCCAGAGCAAGTAGTTCCGAAATCAGCGCCTTTACCACTGCGGCTACGGAGACATGACCGTGCGGCCGCGGCCTCGCGTGTCCGCCTCCCTCGACAACACAATCGCCCTGGTCACGCCGCGGCCAACTTTTAATGCCGCAATGCCGCAATCCAACTCGGACCTCTTCTCTCTCTCTCGCACTCTTCCGAGGCGCCCCACGAGTACGAGAGAGACAGAGACAGCGGCCATTCCTGGAGAGCCTGGAGCGAGTACTCGACCGCCCACATCGCCGTGGCGAGCAGTGCAGTGGCTGACAGTGGCGTGCCCGACGGAGGCGTGCCCCACTTCCAGTGTGCCGTCCAGTGCTCATGCAGTGCCAGTCTCAATAATGCAGCAAGGGACGTTTCCATGGCACAGTTCGATATTCAGACAGGGCATTGCGCAGGCTGAGTGTCTCGGAAAACGACAAACTTATTAAAATGATGTCGAGGTTGCTGTTCCCTGTTAAAGTGCAGTGTCCGTCTCGGCCTAGACACTATGCACACTGTACAATGGCCATCGCCCTCAGCCCGTAGGGTTACTCAAACTTCAGTACAGCCCTCCCCCCCCCATGCCCCACGGGACGGCGGCGTGCTCGGCCAGGAGCGCCAGGTTCCCCGTCCGCAATATTAAAACAAGGCTTCATAATCATTGCCAATTTCGCCAGAACTGACGACCATGAGAAAACAATGCGTTCTATTTTGCTCCCGCCACGCCTGCATGCTTGCATAGTGCTTCTCGTCCTTTTCGCCTTCTTCGCCTTCTCGCTCCGTTACGATCCTCTCTCTCTCTCTGTTCCCCACTTCGCGCAACCAATAAAGCAAAGACGTTTCCGCGGAACCTCAGCAGCGGGTAGCAGCGGCACGCCCGAGCTGGCAGACAGGCAGGCGGGCAGGCAGGCAGGCCGCGTAAAATGTATCCGTCCCTCCCGCGCCTCGATATTAGCCCGATAAACAATGAGACGCTCATCCCGGGGCATGTTTCCCTCTTTCCGGCGCCACGGCCGTTTTCGCCGCCTCTAGACGTCAGGCCTGCCAACCGCCAGGTGCGCGGGGGAGGAACGACGAAGAAAGAGAGAGTTGGCGGGACCGCACGGTGGATGTGCCAGAAGACTCGAGACGCCTTTTGAGCTCCACAGTAGCTACCTACTCGAACCGAACGTGCGACCCCACCAATGGATCCCTCGTTCGGAGAGCAATTCATTGGTGAGGTCACACGTTCGGTTCGAGTCCCTTTCAGCGACTCTGGAGCTTAAAACGCGTTTGGAGTTTAGGCCACCTCCACCGGTCTTCTGGCCCACGGTGCCACGGCCGGGTTGCCCCAACCTCCACCGCTCCGCCGCTCTTTCGAGGTTGTTGCCCACCCTGGGTTAATGATTTTAATCAAATAATTTAAACGGGCGGCGCGTTTCCCGCTGCTTAGTTTCGTCGCGCGCGCCGAGTTGCCTGTCACCGGAATTAGAAGGGAAGTGCGAAGAGATGTGCATTATCACCGAGGCGGACGTGTTCGGCATAAGAAGGACGCCCTTCCGCGCGCGCGCGCGCGTGTGTGTGTGCGTGTGTGCTGGCGGATGTGGGAATGCGCGCACGAGTTGGTGGGCTTGTGTGTGCGTGTGTTGGTGCGCGGCTAAATGCGTGTGTGAGGGGGCGGGCGGGGCAGCGGATAGACCGAGTCCGTCAGTGTGTGGGCGTGCGTGCCCGCGTGTGTGTGAGTGTGTTTTGCACCCAGACCGTACGTACACCGCCGGGAGGCGCGCACATGCGGAGGGGGGATGAGGGGGAAGGGAATGCATGGCAGAGAAGGAAGGGAGGGAGAGAGAGGGAGGGAGGCCGCAGCAACGGCCTCTCTCGTGTGTTACGCGGTAAATTAGCGCTATATGGTTGGTAGCAGTGTGCGGCCTCCTCCCCCTCCCCCGCGCGCTTTTTGGCTATTTAGGGTTGCGATGAAATTATCGCTGCACACTCCATGCTCGCAGCGTGCGAAGCCAGCCAGCCAGGCCAGCCAACAGGACTACTGCAAGTTTTCCCCACAGCGGCGCGCAGGCTCGGCTAACTCGAGCGCCAGCAAGCGCCAGCAAGCGCCAGCAAGCGCCAGCAAGCGCCAGCCTGGCTCGGTCAGGGACCTCCATTCCAGAGGATGTTTTCAACAGTGTACGAACGGCCCTGTGTCAGCACAGCCCGCGTCTCACGTAAAAATTAAAGCGGAGATACCTCAGTTATGCGACAACCTGGGTTTTGAACGCGGGTTTTTCGCATTGCTACGCAGTAGGCCGGACCCCTGAGCCACGGATACGACAGCTGCGACCCACTGTTCGCGCTGAAGAGCGCGCAGTCGCGATGCTTTTGCTTTAACACGAGATAAACCGCAGAGCTTGCTTATTCTTTTAGATTTGTTTACTTTTTTTTTACTCCGAGCAAGGTGGCAACTCCCGGTCCCCCGCGGATGTGTATCACCTTCAAGTCAAGGGGGTGGAAAATAAAACATTAAAGAAGCTGTAGGGAAAAGTGAGAGAAAAAAAATGGAAAAAGAACGACAACAACTCTCGCTCAACGCCAAGGGAGCAGGTGGGGCGAATGAAGACGACACCAAGTGAAAGAAAACGGACTAATTGGGGGCTGCACCGCGAAAAAAAAGGGGGGGGGTGCGCTTAGCGCCCCCACTCCGAAATCCAAAATATTTGTACCCGGCGCTCCGCCGCGCCGCGCTAGACCGCCCCGTCACGGAGCCACCTTTCTCCATAAACCATGCAGCGGCAGAAGTCACGGAACTGACGTGGAACAATTTTTTTAACTTTTCAAAGAAATAAGAAATGGAAACCGAATCGTAAGAAAGGGTTTCCTTGGGCCGGGCGGCACAGGGCGGCGTCCCGGCGGGCGTGGCGGCATTTGACGCAATCCCCACGCCGCGAGCGGAGCGGGACAACAAAAACCAAAACAAGAAAAGGGAAGGAGACAAAAGATCGCGCGCCGTGCGCCTGGAGCCCACTGGAGCCCCGCTGCAGCCCCAAAGGGGCGCGCGCGGCGTTTTGGAAGCCTTTCGCGACCACGGCGGCGGCAGCCTGGTTCTCGCCCGCGGCTCGAAGCAATCGAATAGTCGGAACGAGTGGGAGCCAGTGGGAACGACAGCAGTGCAGCCTTCGGCCGCGGGGCAGCAGCACTGCCTTATGCACCACGACGCGCTAAGGAACTTTGAGTCGAACTGGCCAAAGAAACAACAGCAGCAACGACAACAAGCGGGGAATTTCCACCTGCGTGGAACGTGTGCCTGCGTGGTCGTGTGGTTAGAGGCGTTAGTTTTCAAATTCTAAACCAAGGTTCAAATCCAGATTTTTTTTTAAAAAAAGGTTGTTTGTTGCAGTGTGGGGTCAGGAACAGTGAGAAATGCCACGTAAAACAGGGAAGCCGCTGGCCCGTTGGCGCTGGAATAATACTCTCGTTTTTTCCCCGGGTGCCGCAAATCGTCCCGGCGGGCCGGCGGGGCGTGCCGGCAGCAAGCAGCACTAGTGTGCAGTTTCTTGCCGATCCCAGTGGCGGTGCGCAATCTTACCGGGAACCACACCCCGTCCATATTCATCGCTTCTGCAAACCAGACTGATTGCGAGAGGCGGCCCGGAAAGGGAGAGTCAAGAGAGAGAGAGAGAGAGAGAGAGAGAGAGAGAGAGAGAGAGAGAGAGAGAGAGAGAGAGAGAGAGACAGAGAGCACAAGGTTCCGATCCAAGCGGCCAAGTGGCGCGCAGGATGCCTCCAGACACTTGTAGCAGGCGCGGGGGTCTCGGCCGCGGAGCCAACACAACGGGGAGCACTGCACTTTCGGATGCTGCGTCTCTCTTTAACGGCGGGTCCCGGCAACCTCGAGCGCAGGGCAGCAACTTCGCTTTGAAATTAAATTCTCTGACTTTGCCACACTACGCTTATGACGCACGCAACAGCCAACGTTTTCGTGTTTCGTCCCCCACTCTCTTTCTGACTCTCTCTCCCTCTCTCTCTCAATCCCTCCCTCTCTCTCTCTCTCTCTCTCTCTTCTCTCTCCCTCGGACAAGCACGCGTCGCGCGCAATCCCGAAAGAAAAACGTCGAGCATCAAAAGGACGGTCGGTATTTGTTCGGCTTCTCATTGGGGCGCTGCGGGGCGCTGCCGGCAGCCCGATTCCGCAACGCGGCGGCCCGGGCCGTGAGTGCGAGGGAGACGGGGCGCGCTGCGTGGCGCGGGACACGGCGCAATCTTCGGCCGGCTTGACCAACCAAACAAGCCGGAGGCGGGCAGCCGGGCCGACGGTGGCCCTTGTGTCCTTTTGCCTTCCTTGCCGCCCCGTTCGTTCGTCCTGCCATGTCGTCGTCGGCGTCGTCCTCGGCGTCCTCGCTGCGGTGGTTCCCGTTCGAAAGCTGCCGTCCCGCCCCGCCCTGCCCCGCCCGGCGTGCCGCTTTGAAGTCCCCCGGACTTTGTCCCGGCCCGGTCGGTCCACGGCTCCCGCACTGCCACGCACTCACTCTTGCTCTAAATAGAAGAATTAAAAGCGGTAGGATTCATTTTTTTAAAAGGTGCAACATTTTGTTACCTTAGTCCGTCGCACTATGAAAATAATCGGCAGCCAGATCCCGCGTGCCAACGCCGCGTGCATCAGGTAATTTCACTTTTTTTTTCACACAATTATTTCGACCACGATTATCAAAAACAACCCAGGCAAGACGGTGGGTGGTGATGGCGCCTGTTGAGGCTTCGTTGGGGAGCGACGAGGACAGCAACAGGAACCCCCGGCCGCGGGGCGCGCCTCCAAGCCACGGCGCGATACGCAGAGACGCCTTGACTCGCAGTGTAGTGACAACGAACCGGGGGAGTGTCCCCCCCCCCTCTCCCC